TCATGTAACAAATATTATGCTGACTCATAATAAAAAATCGGCCATAGTACCCGGCCTTTAAACGGGAAAAAAAAAAATAATTGGACTTTAAAGTTTCTGTATTTTGCACCATGATTCTACAACAAAATTGCTATGTTTGTGTATGATTTCAATTACTATCAAATCACATTGTTAGAATAAATTTGGGCAAAATTAAATTTTGGCAGAATTAGGATTTAATTTGGGCAGAATTTGAATATGCAAAATTAACGTATAGATTTTGGCAGAATTAGGGTTTAATTTGGGCAGAATTAGGGTTTAATTTGGGCAGAATTGGGGTTTAATTTGGGCAGAATTAGGATTTAATTTGGGCAGAATTTGAATATAAATTTGAATGGCCGGCACAGATTTCTCATCACATGAAATTGAATAACACGTTATGATTGGCCATCTGTACAACATGTGACAATCAAATCGATAATGTCTATTCGAATTATAATGATAATAAAGAAATGGTATAATAAATGCATTCACAACACACTTTTCGAACTTCAAAATTAAGATATTAAACTAGACTAAAAAGAAGAGTTTTTATTTTTTACATAGATGCAGTACAGAACGAAAAAATTTTAGGAAAGATTTTTTAATTTATACCGCTGTATAATAAATTTACACTCATTCACATCTTTTTCTATTATTACAATATTCTAAAAGTTTCCTTTCACTTTCAATACACGAATAACAAAATTTATCGTCTATAAACCTTTTTTTTTTTCACAAAAGCACAGATCAGAATCGCTTTTATAATACTTACGCTCACAATTCAATTTACTTTTTTTATACAAATAAGATGACCTTCCTTCCCATCTTCTGTCAGGTAATTTAATTAAAAAAAAATCGAAAACTTCTAAAATTTTTTTATTATATCGACTTGGATACTTTCCACTAGTATAATACGAATATATGTGATTGAAAATATAAGGTTCGTAATTAACATTAATTTCGTAATCATTTTCATCTTCGTAATCTTCACACTCTATGAAACGAATAAATTACTATGAATAAAAATTAATTAAATAATATGTATTACTCACGTACCATATTTCAAGTCATTAAAATTCATCAAAACATAAAGATACGTTTCTGGATATTTTTTTATGTAATCTTTATGAATATAAAATTTTGAACCTCTAGCGTTGATGGTTATAAAATAAGATAGCATTTGACTTTGTTATGAAACGTGGATTCACTTGTTTTGAATTCGGAATATTATTACGTGAACGCGAAATATAGCTTTATGCAAGTAATCAATCGATTATCGTTATGTATTTATACCAGATACAATACTTTTATATAAAATCCCGTTTATGCGCATAATATATATAAATGAATACAATGCATATAAATAAACTGTAGTTTATTTTAATTGTACAGTGTTACGCAATCGGTGTATGCAATAGTATGATGTTTTTACTTTAAAAGTGCAGATCTTGTAAAAAAAAAAAAAAAAAAAAAAATAGAACGGAAAATTATATTTTTATAATAAAATATATTATAATGTGTTCTCTTGACACGCGTTTATCAAACGAAGTCCTCTCAGAAATATTTGAATATCTTCTAGAGAATAATTACAAAAACCTATTTTCATGCCTTCTTGTAAA